CCGCTCCCCCGCGCGGGCCGCACCGTGCGCATGCGCCGCCTGCACACACGCATGCGCCCTGCGGCTGCGACATGGCTAGGGACAGCGGGGAATCGGACCGCAGCGGGATCGCTGGATAGACCGGGACACCCGGGACACCGAGGACATTGGGACACTGGGGCTTTGGGACATCCGGGACACGGAACACTGGGCGACTAGGAACACACGTGGCACGGGGATACTCGGACACAGCGGGATATTGGTGCGCTAGGACTCCGGGATACCCGGATGTGAGAAACGACGCTGACTTTTGAAATTCCAAAGGTTTATTAAAACATAACAAAATACAAGGACTGAATAAGGAACGAGACGGCACCGAGAGCACGTGACCGTCTGCCACGTGCTCACTCACAAAATGGCTGCTCCACCTTTTATTGGAGGGGTGCACAGGTAACCCTGGCCCCGCCCAGCGCCTGTCAATCAACTCTTCTTGGCCTCCCATTGGTGGAGACTGCTTTAGTGCACCTTGATTGGAGCTCAGCTGTTGCCGCGCCTGCGCGGAACGAGCCCGCCCTCAGGCCATCCACTGTCAACAATCCAAGCGTGAGGGGAGAGGAGACTGTGTGGAGAACAAATCACAATAACGTAACTGTAATAAATGGAATTGACTCGTGCTAACTAAATTGTAATTGTTATTAAAGTTATTATTAGACGCAATCAAAAGAATCAGTGTTACAAGGCAGATGCACCCCTTTACAGATGTTACATGTTAAAATTGAGGTACAGGATGTTGCTTGGAAGTGATGTCCCAAGATGAAAATGGCCTTGAGATGGACAAAATTAGAATGACTTTATAACACGGACACCAGGGACATAGGACACCGGGCTTCAGGACATGCAGAACACCAGGATACAGGGGCCCACCCTGCAGTAAAACCTGCCCCCGGCCACTGCCCCTGCCCCAGCACCCCTCTGCCAACACGCTGCTCTTGAGATTTATTATCCATTGTGGCCACTTACAGCCCTCACATCCCGGCCACCAGCTCGTTCTTCTGCCAGGGTCCCCCTCGGTGGGCGCCGGGCAGCACTCAGCACCCGCTGCAGCTGCCAGAGCAGGTCAGGCAGCAGCGAGTCCAGCACGGCCAGGCCAGCCCAGGTGCACCGCAGCCCCCTGAGAAAGAGGTGGTGGTGAGCCCCGGTGCCCCGGGGAGACCCCCGGCCCAGCCCACGGCTCCCTGGGGCTCACCTGCTGTCCAGGACAAGCCAGCCCTCCTGCTGAAGTGCCTGAGCCTCCCCTGGCTCCCCAAACACGGCCTGCAGGCTGAGCTGAGGGGAGAAGTGCCCCCAGCGCTGTGTGCCCAGTGTGAGAGAAGGATGTTAGTGATGGGGCATCAACATCCCAGTACCCAAAGGGGCTACGAGAGAGCTGAAGTGGGGCTTTGTAGACGGGTATGGAGTGACAGGAAAAGAGAGGAATGGATGGAAACAGCAGATTTGGATTAGATATTGGGAAGAAATTCTCCTGTGAGGGTGGTGAGGCCCTGACATAGGTTGCCCAGAGAAGCTGTGGGTCCCATCCCTGGAAATGTTCAAAGCCAGGTTGGACAGGGCTTGGAGCAACCTGGTCCAGTGGAAGGTGCTCCTGCCCATGGCAGGAGGTGGAATGAGATGGGCTTTAAGGCCACCCAATCCAAACCATTCTAGGATTAGCATCAGGTCAGTGTGGAGTGTCACCACAGGTGGCTCCTCACCTCCTGTGTGATGCCTTCATCCGTGCGCAGTCCCAGGGTGAGCAGTTCCTCCAGCCTGTGGGGACACGGGGAGCTGTGGGGCAGCACAGACAGGGAGGGGGCATGGGGAGGGGCCCCAGTACTCACTGCTCCAATGGGCTCAGCACCACTCGACTCCTGGTGCCATGTCCCCGGCTCTGTACCTCCTGCATCCAGGTGACAGGCTCCAGGGTCTGGACACGAGCTTCCCAGCTACAGCCACCTTCACCCCGCAGCACAAAGCGCCCATGTGCCCCTGCAGCAGCCAGGGACGGGGAGAGTGGAGCTCATGGTGCACATGGCCACACACTCCCCCACACTGGCCTTCTATCACCCCCTTACCTGGCCCCACACCGATGTACTGGTCACCCCGCCAGTATGAGAGGTTGTGGGTGCTGAGGGCGCCCTGTAGGGAGAACCCTGGGGTGAGGGAAGGGGCTGAGCCTGCTGGGGGACCAGCATGACCTGGGGGGACACAGCATGGGGGGCATCTCACCTTCCGTGCAAAATTTGAGACCTCATAGTGGCGGAAGCCGGTGCCCACCAGCGCAGTGCGGGCAGCCTGGTACATGTCAGCCAGCAGATCCTGGGGGGATGCGGGCAGGGCTCCCCTCTGGACCTGTGCTGCCAGCACCGTGCCCCGCTCCAGCGTCAGCTGGTACAGGGAGATGTGGTCGTCACAAAGCCTCAAGGCTGCCTCCAGCCTCTGGGCCCAGGCATCCTGGCTCTGTCCCGGCAGCCCAAACAGGAGGTCGATGGAGGTTCGGCCAGGGAAGAGCTCCCGCGCTGCTTCCACAGCCTTCTGTGCCTCTGCCGCTGTGTGCTCCCGGCCCAGCATCCTCAGCTCGGCATCATCCAGCGACTGCAGAGGGACGTGGTGACAATGGGGCCATGGGGGGCTGCGGGCACTGCGGTGGGGAGAGCCCCTCTCACCTGCACGCCCATGGAGAGGCGGTTGACCCCAGCTGCCCTGAAGCCGGCAAGGCGCAATGTGCTGGTGGAGCTGGGGTTGGCCTCCAGCGTGACCTCAGCACCAGAGGGAAGGTGGGCAGCCCCCGCCACAGCCTCCAACACTGCTGCAACAGTGCTGGGGCTGGCCAGGCTGGGGGTGCCCCCGCCGAAGAAGACGGAGGTGACGCTGTAGGGTAGAGGGTGGGAAGCTGCAGGTGGGCACGGAAGGGCCCAGTACTCCCCATGAGCCCACCCTGCGCACCCACCTGTGCACCTGGCCGAGGCACAGCAGGGTCCGTGCCTCCCGCACCAGACAAGCGCGCACAGCCGCCTCGTCCACCGCCGGCACCACGTAGGTGTTGAAGTTGCAGTAGGAGCAGCGCTTGCGGCAGTAGGGCCACTGCGGGCACGGCGCGTGTGGGGACGGCCATGCCCTCACCCCTGGCCACTCCACTTTGAGGGGAACCAGCCCCAGCCCAGTGCAGGGACCCCGGTGCCCCCCACCTGCCCCACAAGGCACACAGGTGTGACCCTTCAGCCCAGGCTAGCCCCATGGCACGTACAAGGCTGGGCTCTCCCCAGCGTGTGCAAACCCCGGCGTCCCACATACACCCACGAGTGTGCGAGTCCCAGGGAGCCAC